TAGTTTGGGTACAATTTTGGTATCTATTGAATTTCTAAAAGCTTTATTGTGAGAAATGTCAAGAAATAGTAATCTTGACACTGATAATCTTGTATCTTCTTATGTTTTTTTCATGTATTTCTTTCAGGAATGGGTTACAGATAGTCCCTTCATTATATCACCAAGAATCACCTTTGAGGTCAGTGTACGGCTTCTTGGTGGGTTGATGGCATTAGGATATTCAATTGCAACCATTTTGAAAAGGAAAAGCCACATCTTCTCTGATGACAAGGTTTGTGTGAAAACAGATTGGTTGGAGCAACTTAATCGCCGGTATGTTCAGGTATGACAATCACTAATTACTAAATCGCTCTCATCTCATCTCACTATAATTTACTTTAAATGTTTGAATCATGTGATTTGCGAAGCAGAATTTCTTTTGTCTTTTTATCTGTCTCTTGTTTTGAGAATTTGGGTTAATTTTATTTCATCTGGAATTCAGGTAAAGATATGTGTCATAACCTCGTAATGAATCTCTTTAAGGCTGTACCTAGCCAAGTCTTAGACTTAGAATGTGGCTAAGGCTGTGGGTAATTGAATGTTTGTGAGGCATGTGCATGGCATAATCGGCTAAGTTACCATTTTATTAATCTACTGGAAGCGACTTTGATTTTTTGGGTTGAGACAAATGTAAGGATTGTATTTTGGAGAAATATCCAGTTTGGATACAATGCTTGCTCATCATTATCATTGAAGTGTTACCTTAAATTCTTGTTTGACTTAAAAAATTATAAACATGACATGAAGCATAATGAAAAATGAAGTAAAGGGCCCTTTAAAAGGGGAAAGAAATAGTTCCCTAAAACCTCAGTTAAAGAAGTTCAACAAATATTAATGAAGAAATTTTCTGATGAATGTGTGAGTTCATTTTTAAATTTTCCTTTTGCTGAAGACCTAAGGAACAAAGAGAAGTCTGTGAGAATGAGTTTCCTCTTTCTCAACTCTGGCATTGTATTGCCTGGGGAGCTAATTACTATTATTATTTACTATTTTTCCCTTATGAAGGTGCAAGGAAGAGATCGCTTACATGTAAAATATGTTGCCGACTCTCTGGGTTTGGATGGTTCATATATTCCTCGCACTTACATCGAACAAATTCAGCTGGAGAAGCTTTTAAACGATGTTATGGTGCGTTAAATTTTAGTTAAATACAAATTTCCCATTGTTCCTGGTTCTCAGTATTACAGTCCAAGCAGGCATTGCCAGATGATCTGAAGACAGCTGAGCATAGATGATGATTTGGTCTCAAGCCCTAGAGAAGCTTTATCCCGAGCCTCGGCAGATAGGAGAACAAAGTTTCTTAATCGGTAGGTCATAGGCTAAATTGTTATCTGCTTCTCAAAGTATTCTATATGTATTGTTTGGATGTTTCTACTTTTTACAATCATCACCTACTTATTTCTGCAAAAGTCATGCGACGGAAAAGCATCATCTGTTCGCCTGTAACTATTGGCAGTGGTATCCCACATTCATACTCAACACAACGAGAAAAACACCTGTCCAAGCTGACAAAACTTGCGGTTAATACTACAAGATATGATGGGAGAACCCCTGATTCTCCAGCGCCAGTGGCTAATCAGGTAATTATTCGGAGAAATAGGTTCATTTTTTGGCACAATCTAATGTCTCCATAATTTTGGCTACATATTAACGTTATATTTGGTGCGTGAACTGGCTTCCAATTTTTTTTCTCTGTTTGGTGTCCTCTGAAATTGCTCTTAGAAAATGTTTACCCTACTTGGGGGCATTTGTTTGACATTGTTGCACAACTTTAGCTCTAATATAATAATTTACTCCAGGAAAAGGCTAAGAGTTTCATCCACCGTCTTAGATCATTTTCTGAACACCATTTTTTTAATCAAGTAAAAGGTTTCATTTATAGTTACAAGGCCAACTTTTTTGATAAGGATAGTAACAAGGCCAACTTCCTTGATAAGGATAGTAACAAGGTCAACTTGGCTGTATACAAGTGATATACCAATTCTGAACACCATTAATTGATTCTTATTGATACTCAAGAATGATATCACCCTTTCCTGCTCATTCCTCTCCACTACCATCATGAACTCATAACCACGTCCTTGACCACAGCTACATGCTATCAAGTCTTTTGGTAATTTAAATATTCCCTTTTATCAGAATGGTGTAAATCGTAACTCAAACCAACTAACCTGTGGAAAGATTTACATTTGCTTGTATGTTTGGAAATAGGATCCTGCTGAAAGTTTGTTCAGCAGAATGAAATGAGTCCTTCATGTAGGAGTTAAGAAAACTCACACTAGGATCTCGTCATCTGCAGAATCAGCAAGTAAGTTGACTTTGTAACTTTGGAAAGGAAGTAAAATGATGATAAGCTGGCAACCTTGGGGATCGGTGACTGGAAATTCCTGCTAAAAGCTGATGGATCCCTTTTTAATCATGCAAAACAGCAAGTATTTTTTTTTAATAATTTACAGTAGTTCGTATAGATGTACAGAAAGCATATTTGCTTGTTTAATTAATAAAATATTGAGAAGAGACTTTAATTCAAGTCCTATAAATCTTTTAAGTGTTCATACACCCTTGAACGAGTGTGTAACAGCTCACTAATCGAGTGCTCTTGCACCGAAAATGAACGGGGCTAAGCGATCTGCTGAAGCTGTGGGGTGTCAAAATACATCGGCAGGGATATTTGAATTCCTTGTCCCACTCTTTCCAGTATTCTGTAAAACAGCAATTAGGAATAGGGAATATATATCAATGAAATGTCTTACCTGTTGGAATCATTTTTTTCATGGAGATTGAATCCGCATCATCCTAGTCGAGAAACACACACTGCTTCATCCCTCAAATCACAGAGATAAATCAAGAGAGAATAATAATCAAGGGAACAAACTGCTGAATTGTAGCCATATTGTTTTATCAATAAAATTATGTTAATCATTATTTTTTGTAAAAAAAAGAATCCATTCATGTTCGCAAAAATAAAAATAAAAATTACTTTGTTTCGTCGATATGGAGAACTTGGTACTGGAAACTTTACCTGCTAAGAGAGTGGAAAATATTGTTAATGTGCACGGGGATACTCAAAGTACAATGAGTTACATTTTTGGAGCCAAATATTCTTCTTTTTGTATGTTGTATGTTAGCTTCCAATTTAAGCAACAATAAAAAACGCGAATGTTGTTCCATTTATTCCTACATATCTGTCCAGCAGAATATGTGTGCTGTTTTTCCTTCTGTTTTCCTGCTTAGTTCCATCATTTCTTATACATCAGAAGAGAAGTCAATTTACTACCAGTACGTCCCACTTATGCGGAACTGTTTATAATATGCTCAATCTTACATTTACCTTTTTTGTTACTTTTTTTCCCTCAATCACTCAAGAATTGCCTTTTTTCAGGGAGTTGTTTCTCAACTTACAGAGCAAATTTCCACATTGAGTGAGCGAATGGATGAGTTCACATCTCGGATTGAAGAGCTAAACTCAAAAATATCTGCCAATAAAGTTTCTGCTAGCCAACAAAATTTGGCAGTGCATGCTGAGTCTTGCAATGGGTCTGGACCCACTTCTCTTTTTGTGGCTGGGTTAGGCAATGGCTCGTTGGCTGGTTCTCTTTTACCTCATTCATCATCATCTTCCCAACTGGCAAGAGAGTCTTCACTAATGGAAGAGGTATTCTACTATCATCCCGTGCTCATCTTTTGCATTAAGTAGTGACAAAAGGAGGCATGGCGGGTAGTTTGATATACTCTCCCAATAGCTGTCCAATTTCTGCCTTCTGACTCAATATGACCAATTTTTAGAGTGAATTTGGTTATTGCATAATTCATCCATTTGAAAATAATTCTTTTATCTCACAAAGAACACTAATGAGTGCACGAGGGTTTTCTTTGATCCATCACTTTCACACTGTTCACCAGTTCAATAAAAGATTTCAATTGATTTACCAATCTAGGCATCAGAACTTTCAATTGCATCGTTAATATTTACTGTGATGATTTTGACCTTATCATTACTTGAGTCGAGGGTCTATGAGAAACATCCACTCTATCATCACAAGGTAGGGGTAAGGTTGCATACACACTACCCTCCCCATACCCCATTTGTGGGATTACATTGGTATGCTATTGTTGTACTTGAGACTGCATTGGGTGTTAATAACTTCTGTTTCCAAGAACTAAAAATTTCTCTGAAAACAACCATAGTCCAAGTTCCAACACATTTGTCTGAAGAAGATTGAGAATTTGATTAGACAATTATGCCTCTGATGCAAACATAATTGGGAGCAGGTACTTCTCATTGGGAGATCACAGCGTCAGATCATGCACCAGATGGACAATCTGAGCAATATCCTCCGTGAGCTCAACGGATCTCGCCTAGGGAGAGCGGATAGGACCGAGGGAATGGCTGAAGTTGTTGAATCGATTGGTGTTCCTCTGCTTCTTACCCTTGCTGTTGGCGGTGTAGGTATCTTCTTGTTCAGGACCTTATCTCAAAAATAACTGATTCAGCTATGGCTACTGAAACAGTTAACCACGTAGAAGATGTACATATACAAAGAGAAATCTTTTAACAGTGTAGATGTATGTTTCTGGCCTAAGTATCTTCGATGAACCAATATATACATGAAGAAGATGAAGTAATTGTCTCTAACAGATGGAGCGAATATTTCTTCGTTCGGTCTTTAGTTTTGATATCCTGGTTTATGTTTAAATAAAAAAAGCATGAGAAAACTCCTCACATTTCATCCTTGTTTTCCAACAAAAGGAAACGAAGTCCTTCAAATTTTAGGTTGAAGGACTTCGTTTCTTTTTGTTGTTTCGTGAATTTCTGATCAAGTTGGGGTAAAAATTGAGTGATCTTTCATTCCTTATGCCTTGTTACTTATCAGCTTTCAACTTCTTTATTCACGTGTATATAGTTAGATGATTGGATGGTGACGTAGATAAATAGCAGATACATAAACATGTTCCAAAACTAAGTAGAGGGCAATTAAGTGAAACCATCAATAGATCATAATTTTGTTTATCAAAACAAGGAGGAGGTGGTTTCGTGAATTTCTGATACAACTTGATCATACTCTTCCTTCAGTTTCTCTTGATCTTCTTGCCCAAGTTCCCCCTTAGTAGGCTTTGTCAATACCAAAACGCAGCAAGTTGGCCTCTTAGTGGCTCCAGCACTTGCAAGATCCTGAAAACACAGTTTTTTTATCATGATCACGAAAGTAACTCGCAAGATAACATCACAACACAAGAATGTAATAATATTAAGTGAGTATGAGATAAAAACTTCAGCTTACTTCTTTTGAAGGAACATAAATATATGGTATATCAGCTTCCTCACATAGGAGTGGAACGTGAGTAATGACATCGATAGGAGAAATGTTTCCAGCAATAACACACAATCTGCAATTCCCAAAAGACATATGATGTTCATAAGCTTGTTAATTCACAAATATGGCATGTAGACAAGTTCATGTCACAAATATTTCAGGGTAGAAAAATTTACCATTGAGCATAATTAGCAAGCTATGGAATTGCTTGTACAAGTGCTTATGGGCTATATGCTACAGAGCAGCTAATAAGGTACTGACTGATGTGGAAGAAGGCTTACCAAGGAAAGCATTAATTTTGACTCTTTACCGACAATTAGGTATATTGATTTAATTGCTTCCATTAAGACGAGTCTGGAGTAACTAAAAAGCCTAAAATCTACACATGAGCTATTCTTACTGTGTAAGTCGTAATTATACAGCCAGCTCTTTGTGTAAGTTATTTCAATATCATTTCACCAGGGGGGTCCACAGTTTGGTGAAAAACCAAACCAAATCGATACTTATTTTGTTTGGTTTGAAATTTTAAAAAATCAACAATATTTGGTTTGGGTTTAGTTCTACTAAAAAAGAAACCGAAAAAATAACAAATAAATTATTACATAAATTTTATAATTTATTTGAATATATAGGAGTTTTTCATAAAGATTTTATACTTTTATATCATTAATTTGATTTCAGTCTACTTATTTCATATGCACTAAAACACTTTTAAATTCTTTCTTAAAAAAATATTCTCCAAGTCTAATATATTGTCTATAGGAGTCTCTACAATTATATAAATTAAACACACTAAAGCTTCGAAATAGTGTTGAAAAATAATAGAAGATTCAGATACAATCATCTTGTTATAGTAGAGAGAAATTTGTTGATTCCTACTGTTCATTTAAAATAGTTATCGTATGTCTATTTTATTTTACTATTATCAACTTATCTTTAAGTAGTAATGAACCGAACCAGACCAATGGTTTTTATTATACTTAATTTGGTTTCAGAAATGTAAAAATCAACTAAATTAATTTAGTTTTTTTATTTTAATAAAAAAACTTATCCAAATAGAACCGGGAACCCCTACCTTCCAGGGGCATTATGGCACGGAACTCAGGTGCGGCCTAGGGCTAGAAGTACTTGTCCATCCATTTAAAAGTCTATTCTAAAGCATGAGGCTTGATCTAACACTAAGGGGTCGTTTGGTGTAATGGATAAGGGAAGTTAATCCCGGGATAAATTTTAAGTACCCTTTATAGGTAATAGGACTATCATACTACAGACTGAGGAGTGAGGACAATCATCAAGAAATACTCAATTTCCAGTTTTCAACACATGCTCACCAGAACTCTAACGATTTTGTGAAAGACGCACCACTTTCGTGATTAACTTTTTTGAGGTTGAGTTAGATTCAAAATTCATTTCTTTACAAGTTCAGTATGCCAGGGCGTGCATGTATTCGTGTCTAAAACAGGCATTCCAGAACAAGAAAGCCTATTACTCTCTCTGTCCCAACTCCTTCCAATTTGTGTGGTACCAATTTATATTTACAAGCTATTCAAATTTCGAGAGTGAGACAATTTAATTTTGACTATGAATTGACAAAGAGATCATAGATGAAAGAAAGAGAAAAAGTGGACTGACCCTTTATGACCGCGACGAATACTTTTCACTACCTCTTTAACTCCTCTCTTCAAGCATTTATGTTCCGTAGCTGAAAACAGAACAATGGTGTGATTAAACAAATGTTAAAAAAAAATCACAAATACTTGGTCCCCAGAAGTTTATGGATACCTCGCCTAACGAGTTTGAAGGTTCGTTTGCTGAGTTTTTTACCAGCGAGTGGTTTAGCAATAGGGGCTATAGCCATTAGCTTCTTTCTCTCCTCTTTTTGTGCCGTTTTCTCTACTTCGCTATCACTACCACCCATATCTCTCTTGAACGTAAAAGCAAAAGCAGGGCGTCGGTGTAGGGTTTAACGAAATGGGGAGAAGTTGGAACGCGATATCACTAGGGTTTAAGGACTAAGGAAATTGTTTTAAGTTGGGCCTTTATGGGACCATAAGGAGTGTTTTTTATCTTTTGGTTAGGGGTGTGCAAAAATTGAACTAACCAATAAACTGAATTGAAAAAAGTGTTATTGATTTATTGTTATTGGGTTATTAGATTAACGGTTTTTAATATTTTATTAAAAAAATTTATCAGATTATCGGTTCGATATTAGTTTTGAACATTGGGTTATTGGCTAAAACGATAACTGATTAAGACTAGTAATTTACTACATTTACTTGTACATAAATATTATATATTAATCTCAATACCTTACTAGTTATTGTTTTTTATCCTTTAACCTTCAATTCACACTTCAAAGTGACTTTTAGTTCACAACTTCACATTATGCAAAACGTCAAAATCTAAAGTAAGAACTTTATTCCTCTTATGGGTCCAATAAGAAGTGTTTTTGAATATTTGGCTCAGTTTAACAAATTCTAAAAAAGATGTTGCCTATCGAACATAAGTTTTAGTTGTAATGTTATGTAAGTTCAAGACATTTTAAAAAGTTATAGATAGTGTGATGTGTTACATATGTGTTATCTATCAGATGTAAGTTTTAATTGTAATGTTGCGTAAGTTAGTTAAGAGTAGGAGTGAAAATTTGAGCCCATATTAATGAAATGAGTTCATTTTGCTCATATTTAATGACTTGGATCACTCATATTTTAATTGGTTAAATATGGGCTTCAAGCTATTATAAGAGTCTCTACAGATATGGTCAAAATGGGTTAAATATGGGTATCCATATTGATCCATAATAGATCACTTAGTTTTCACTTTCACTCAAAATTCTTAATTGTGCTAAAAAATAAAAAAATTAATAGTAATTTTCAAAAATTCAATTAATTTTCAAACTTAATTGAAAAAATAGATTTTTTTTTTTGTTTTTGGAAAACAAAAAAAAAAATTGGGATAGGTTGGTGGAAGGGGGGCACCCTAGGGGGTTGGGGTGCTCCGGGAGGGGGTAATTTTTTTTATTTTTTTTTTGTTTTTGGAAAACAAAAAAAATATAGGGGTCGGTTGGTGGAAGGTGGGGGTGCCCGAGGGGAGGGGGTAATTTTTTTTTGGTTTTGAAAAACAAAAAAATTTAGGGGTTGGTTGGTGGAAGGTGGGGGTGCCCGAGGGGAGGGGGTAATTTTTTGTTTTTGTTTTTGGAAAACAAAAAAAAATTAGGGGTAGGTTGGTGGAAGGTGAGGGGTGCCCGAGGGAGGGGGTAATATTTTTTTTTGAAAAACAGATTTTTTTTGTATGGGTTAGAACTATTTTACCCAAATCATATTTGACCAAATCCATATTTACCCATATTCTATTTGGGTGGATTGTAATCCAAACCATTTTTGCTCAATCCATATTCAATCCATCCAAATTCGATCCAATCCAACCATTTGCCACCCCTAGTTAAGAGTTCATCAGAAAGTTAAAGATAGTGTGATGCATAACACTCAGAAGTTTCAGCTATATTGACTTGTGAAGAATTGAAGAACATATGCAAAAATGATTCAGTTCATTGTATTGAAATATCTCGAATTATTGCATTATAAATAAAACTAATTTATGCCCACAACTTATATTTAATGAGCGACAAAAATCATTTCTTATTTTTTTGCTAAAGCAAGATAAAAATTTTAAAATCACCATTATGAAGGTCATTCTTGCAGATCACCCCATTTTTGGGTCTACCCTTCATGAAAAACACAAATGAAACCCAATGTCTTTTTTGCCAATAAATCTTTACGGATTTTAATTTTTTAGCAATTGGCTAAAAAAAGTCATCAATCTAACCAGAATACTTTGTAATCGTTGTTAAAGTAATTATCTCTTTCATTATAATTTGTTTGTCTAGTTTTGATATGAGATATAGTTTAGAAAGTAAAAAAAAAAGAATTATGATCTTAAACTAAAAGATACGTAGAATGTATCAAAATATCCTTTAATTTTATGATCTTAAACATGTTATGTGAAAGATTGAAACTAAAGAGTTATCATATAAAGGAAAGGATTTTTTCTTAAAAAAACGAACCAAAAATAAATAAATAAGACAAACAAATTAATACGTATTTCTTCCGGTTCCAATGGAACCATACTAATGCCCGGAAAACTACGGTAGTTAAGATTTTTTTTTTTTTAAGCAAAACAAAACTTGTATTGCTGGTAAGTTCAACAAATAATTTTGATCCAAAAACAAAAAGGTAGTTAAGATTATGAAATGGTTCCTCATGGAAATATATGATTGTTTACTTAATTTAGGTAAGTTTCATCATTTACTAGGTGATGTGGTTGTAGCTATAGATCTTACGGCTTCCATTTAATTTCTAGAGTTCCATAGCAGAAGAATTTCGAATTATATTTCACTCGTATCCGTTTAATTTTTTTAGAGTTAATTTAATTATTTTTTGAAACTAAATTAATTTGATATTTTAAAATTAAAATGTAAATATTAAAAACTATATGAAAAGTATTATAAATTACATTTTTCTTCCTATCATTATAATGAAAAGATATATTTAAAAATATTGGTCATATTCATTGATTTGAGTCTCAAAAAACTAAACGTATTAAGTCTTTTAAGACGATAAAGTAATAGTTTAAGTTTGCTTGTACTTATGTTCTCCACGTATATAACCTACATAAACTAGGGGTGTATGTAGATCAAATTGATTAGGATTTTTTCAATATTAAACCAAATTAATTGTGTAAGATCTTTTTTAAATCTATAAATCAAATCAAATCAAACTAATAAACATTGAATTCTTCATCCTTGGATTTTTTTCGAGTTTTCCCTCATATAAAGTCTTCATACAAAATATATAACTTGTACTTAAAATATTTAGTGATGATATTGTACTAGAATATTCAACAAAAAGATAATGAAATTGTATAGAACAAATAATAAATCTTAATGAAAATGATTTGGGGGGGGGGGGGGGGGAATAAGAAATATAGTGATGAACAATTTTGATAAGTTGAAATGAAAAAGAGAAGTTGGTGAAATAAAGGGGATTTCGAATAAAGTGATTGACAAATCAAAGTTTGAGTTCTCAAACGAAAAAGAATGAAAAGAACTTGAGAAGAGGTGAAGATGATTGTAACAATGTTTTGAAAAGGTGAAGCCACTAAGCCAAATTGACCATACCTTAACCCTCAGCCCCATTACAAGCTTGAAATACCCTAGATATCTTGCATGAACTAGGTTGTGTGATGATTGGAAAATATAGGTAAACCTATTGGATGAAGCTTGCATGTATTTCTCTTTTGAGAGAGTGAGAGTTGGATTAATTCCTTATTTCTTTGTTGATTTGTTTTGGGGGGGGGGGGGGGGGAAGCAAATCTAATCTAAAGAATAAATGTCTAACATCATTGTCATTCCTAGCGTTGAATTGAATATCTTTTATTAGCGTTAGTATTGATTTGATCTTTATATAAATTGAATCATTCAAATTTCTAAGTTCAAGATTAAAATAACATATTAAAACACAAAATTATGAAAAACTTAAAGAAATATTTATAAATGAATTATAATATTTTTAAAAGTTGTATACATATTGTGCCGGGTTAATTTGATTCAATTTGCTATAGTTAAAATCAAACTAAATCAATTATTATCAATTTTTTTCACATTAAATTAAGTTATACCAAATTGCTAATCAATTTTTTTGTTCAATTTAACTCGAATTTTGTTAATTTTCTTTGTAGACCCCTAACACAAACCTACAATAAACTAGCAGTTATGACAGCCACCTTTGGACGTTTCCTATTTAAGGACATATCATTTTTAAACATATTGTATCAAATTAATTTATCATGATTTGGTACTTTTAAGTATGCTTTCTGTATTTTGCAGTATTATAGTCGATATTAATAATTTATTTGATTTAAATATACTTATATATATAAAAAAATATGATTTAGACTTTTCAAGAAGCACTTCAATTATATTATACGTACTAACACGTTATACATATGGATCTATTCAAACGAAAGTACAAGAAATCTCCTTTGTTAATCAATTACACAAAAAAGACATCTCAATCTTAATAGTGTAGTCAAAATTTAAACGTCTAAACAATTATTTTTATACTAACAGATTTATATATTTGTTATATTATAATAATATATATCAACTATATATAGTATGTAATTTTTTTACTATAGATACCGAATATTAAAAATATATCAAATATCATAATATTAAAATTTCAATATCTACCATATCATGTCCATAACCACATAAATATTATTGGCATTAAACGTATAGAACGTGAAACTTTCAAAATTTCAATTTCAATATGTATTGTATCATGCCACCATGTAAATATTATTGGCATTAAACTTTTGGGACGTGAAAGTTGGATGAATATTGACATTATTAGAGAACACAGATATGTCACAATGGAAATCTTCTCGTGCTCTTAAGAGCTTATCGCACCTCACCCTTTTGAAAAATTTATGATTAAAAGTTCATGAGTTCAGAAAAAATGACGTGATTTTATTATACGCATACATTTCTTTTTTAAAATAATAATCAAATGTATATACAACACTCGAGTCGACAAGTTTAGTTTGAATTTGCCCAAAAATCCACCTATTTGTCATGTCTAATAGATCTTTCACTAATAAATTTAAAATATAAAGAAGTAAACACATGTAAAAGTCAAGATTAAACATTTATAATATATACATAATTTTATTTTAACATTATGTATACTATATTGTATATGGTGTAATTTTTCACATAAAAATTAATTATGATAAACCCCTTGCACCCTCTAGCTACCCCCGACCCTAGCTAGATCCAAAAGAGGAAGTTAATCAAGAATAAGAGGCTAGGATAATGATTAATTTTGGTAGTATAAATATCAACAGCTGATTCTGTTATTGATACAACTCAAACATGGAAATTGTCTCAATTACGAAAACAACGTTACTAATTTTCCAGAGTTTGATATTCCTAAATGTCTCACCTTACCTTGTTCATTGCGCATTGTCGCGTCTCCAACTTCCATCACGAACCTTTGGCCCTGACTCTTCTGCTTTCGACACAAAAGGTGGCGGACCTTACACTGGTGTTGGAGATGGCAGAGTAATGAAATATCAAGGTCCAAATGTTGGCTTCACTGAATTTGCTATTACATCACCAAATAGGTAACTAAGTTCCAAGTCTAAGCTTCATTTTTTTCTTATTCACTCAATAATAAATAATTGGAATTAGCGACTGACAAATTTTCGTAGCTAATGGGCTAGCAAAGAAGTTCATAGCTAATTTTTGTAGTGCTTCTCCTTCTTTTCTCAGACTTTAGGACCAAGGAAAGATGTGAAGGCACAAATGACCCAATATCACAACCAATATGTGGAAGACCGTATGGCCTTGGATTTTACCGCAAAACTGGTGACCTCTATATAACTGATGCATATTATGGACTCTTGGTGGTTAAACCAAGTGGAGGGCTCGCGACACCACTTGTTACTAGCTTTGAGGGCACGCCTTTTGCCTATCTTGACTCACTAGACATCGACCAGGAAAGGGGAATCATTTACTTTGTAGATTCAGGAGCCATATTTCGAACTAGGTTCGTCACTCTAAAACTTTAATTTTCTCGTGGCAATTGAAAATTAGACTCAGAGTCCATTTAATTAGCAATATTGCAATTAACTGATTTTATTTTTTTATTTTTTAAAAATGAATGGTCTTGTAAGCAGCAACAGGCTACTAATTGCTCTAAGCGGAGATACAACAGGGAGATTATTCAAGTATGATATAGCAACAAAACAAGTCACATTATTACTAGATAAACTTTCAGGGCCAGCAGGGGTAGCACTCAGCAATGACAAATCATATTTATTAGTGTCGGAAGCTATTGGTAAAAGAATAACGAGGTTTTGGCTTGAAGGTGCAAAAGCAAATTCATCTGATGTTTTCGCAAACATTGATGGAAATCCAGATAACATTAAGCGGACTGTGTCCGGAGAGTTTTGGGTTGCTGTTGTCAGCGTGAAATTAAAGCTGTTGATCATTCCCACCATAATTTCCACAGGAAAAAGGATGAATCAGTCGGGAGAAGTCGTGGAAACGCGCGATTTCACAGCTCAATATACTAGTCCAAATGGGATAACTGAAGTTCATGAATATAATGATAAACTTTATATTGGGTTTTTAGACCAGAACTTCATTGGTGTTGATGATGTTTAATTTGATGTATGTCTTCTGTTTTCACTAGAATAAGCTTTTATGATTCAGGCAGCTATATGTATATTTATAAGAATAAGCATTTTCTACACTAATTAAAAATGCTGCTGATCTTCTTATTGTTGGTAATGGAGTATTTAATTAGAACTAATCTGGCCAGGTATTTAATTTGGTTCTAGAAATGTAAAAATCCACTAAATTAATTTAGTTTTTTTTTAAATCAAAAACTTATCCAAACCAAACCGCAAACCCTTACATTCCAGGGGCATTATGGCACGGAACACAGGTGTGGCCTAGGGCTAGAAGTACTTGTCCATCCATTTAAACACTATAGGACTATCATAATTAATACATGTACACACCGAGGACAATCATCAAGAAATATTCAATAAATTCCAGTTTTCAACACATGCTCACTAGAACAACTCTAACGATTTTTTTGAAAGACGTGCCACTTCAGTGGTTAACGGAATGAGTGGTGTCTTGGGCAGCTTTTGAGATAAAATTAGACTCGAGATTCAATTCTTTATGAGCCCAATATGATAGGATGTGCTAAAACAGACATTCCAAAACAAGAAAACCTACTACTCTCTCTGTCCTAACTATTCCCAATTAGATTTGTTGGGAGAGAGTAGTAGGCTTTAACGAAATGGGGAGAAATTGGAATTTGATAAACCACTAGGGTTTAAGGACAAGGAAAAAAACTTCAAGTTGGGCCTTTATGGGTCCATAAGGAGTGCTTTTGAATTTTTGTCTCAGTTTAGCAATTTTTCTTTAAGAAATGACATATGTTGCCTAGGACAATAGTTTTAATTGTAACGTCACGTAACTTAGTTTTTCTTCTTGAGCTAAGAGTTCATGACATTTCAAAAAGTTATAGATAGTGTCATGTGTTATGGTCAAAAGTTTCAACTATATTGACTTGTGAAGAATTGAAGAACATATGCAAAAATTGATCGGGTTCATTGTATTGAAATGTATCGATTTCTAGCATTGTGAATAAAATTAATTTATGCCCATAACTTATATTCGATGAGCAACAAAAAATATTTCTTAAATGTTTTGTTAAAGCACGGTCAAAAATTTAAAACCACCATTACGAAGGTCATTCTTGCAAATTACCCACATGTGTTGGGCCTATTCTTCATGAAAAATACAAATGAAACCCAATGTTTATATGGAAAAATCACCACATATTTAATTAAGAGTTGATATTACAACTTTTAAATTTATTTGTTTTGCCAATAAATCTTTGCAGATTTTAATTTTTTACCATTTGGCTAAAAAAAAGTCATTAATCTAACTATAATACTTTGTAACCATTGTAAAAGTAATTACCCCTATGTTTTAATTTATTTGTTTGATTTTGACTTGACACGTAAGTAGTTTTAAAATGTAACAAAAAAAGGGTTTTTGAATCTTATAATCTGAAACGATAATAGAATAAATCAAATTGTCTTTTAATTTTGTGATCTTAAACATGTCATGTGAAAGATTGAAATTAAATAATTGTTTTAAAAAGAAAGAGACATTTTTATTTAAACAGACTAAACATAAATAAAATAAACAAATTAATACGTATTTCTCCCCGTTTCGATGGAACCACACTAATGCATGGAAAGTTACCGCAGTTACGATTTTGAAATGGTTCCTCAGGGAAATATACGATTGGTTACTTAATTTTGGCACGTTTCGTCACTTACTAGATTATGTCGTTGTAACTATATAGATCTTTCGGCTTTCATTTAATTTATAGAGTTTCATAGCAGTAGAATTTAGAATTATACTCCATTCATCTATGCTTTCATTTTTCAAAAGTCAATTTAATTAATTTTTGAAATTAAAGTAAATTAATTATGATAAACCCCTTGCACCCTCTGGCTCCCCTAGTACTCTAGATCTAAAAGAGGAAGTTAATGAATAAGAGACTAGGATGGTGTGCAATTGGTAGTATAAATATCAACAGCTGATTACGTTATTGATACAACACAAACATGGCAATAATCTTAATTACAAAAGCAATGTTCCTAATTCTCCAGATTCTTATATTCCTAAATGTCTCACCTTACCTTGTTCATTGTGCATTTTCACAACTCCAACTTCCATTACAAACCTTTGGCCCTGACTCTTTTGCTTTCGACACAAAAGGTGGCGGACCTTACACCGGTGTTGGAGATGGCAGAGTAATGAAATATCAAGGTCCAAATGTTGGCTTCACTGAATTTGCTATTACATCACCAAATAGGTAATTAATTCCAATTCTAAGCTTTTTCTTTTTCTTATTCACTATTCAGAACAAAATAGGAATTAGCGACTGATAAATTTCAAATTTCATATATATTATGTATGTTTAGGACCAAGGAAAGATGTGATGGCACAAATGACCCAATATCACAACCAATATGTGGAAGACCGTATGGCCTTGGATTTTACAACAAAACTGGTGACCTCTATATAACTGATGCATATTATGGACTCTTGGTGGTTAAACCAAGCGGAGGGCTCGCTACACCACTTGTTACTAGCTTTGAGGGAACGCCTTTTGCCTATCTTGACTCACTAGACATCGACCAGAAAGGGGAATCATTTACTTTGTAGATTCAGGAGCCATATTTCGAACTAGGTTCATCACTTTAAAACTTTAATTTTCTCGTGGAAATTGAAAATTAGGCTCAAAGTCCATTTATTTAGCAATATTGCATTTAACTAATTTTATTTCATTTTTTGAAAAACTGTATGGTCTTATAAGCAGCAACAGACTACTAATTGTTCTAAGCAGAGATACAACAGGGAGATTGTTCAAGTATGATATAGCAACAAAACAAGTCACATTATTACTAGATGAACTTTCAGGGGCAGCAGGGGTCGCACTCAGCAAAGACAAATCATATTTATTAGTCTCGGAAGTTATTGGTAAAAGAATTCGGAGATTTTGGCTGAAAGGTGCAAAAGCAAATTCATCCGATGTTTTCGCCAACATTGATGGAAATCCAGATAACATTAAGCGGACTGTGTCCGGAGATTTTTGGGTTGCTGTTGTCAGCGTGAAATTAAAGGTGATCATTCCCACCATAATTTCCACAGGACAAAGGATGAATCAGTCAGGAGAAGTCGTGGAAACGCGCGATTTCACAGCTCAATATAAGAGTCTTAATGGGATAACTGAAGTTCAAGAATATAATGGCAAACTTTATATTGGGTCTTTAGACCAGAACTTCATTGGTGTTGATGATGTCTAATTTGATGTATGTCTTCTGTTTTTACTAGAACAAGCTTTTATGATTCAGGCAGCTAAATGTATATTTACAAGAATAAGCATTTTCTACACTAAATAAAAATGCTGCTTATCTTCTTATTGTTGGTAATGGAGTATTTAATTAGAAGTTAATAAGAACTAATCCGGCCAGGTGTTAACCCCTTCTTTAAGAGATACTCCTATTCGTTGCGAAAAGGTGTAATCAAATCAGTCACTCATGCTTGCATTACGGCACGGTATTGGGCCTTTTTCAGACTCTACTAACGCGGGAAGTTTTGTGCATCGAACTGACACCTTTTTTTTTTTTCTTTTTCTTGAAAAGGTATGTTAGTTACTAGTAGATTCTCTATAAATATTCACGCGTGAAAAGAGCACTTTGAAGAATCTTCCTCCCCATCCCTCTCTATATGTATACATGAAGTTTCCTACACTTGAAAACAATTGAAAGTGCCCCAAATTTTTACCTAAAATATTTGAAATGAATTAATGATCAAACAACTATTTACAACAACCAACATATACTCAGTGTAATCCCATAAAGTGGGTTTTGGAAAGAGTAGAGTGTAGACATTACCACTATCTTGAAGGTAGAGAGCGTGTTACTAATAAACCAGTCCAAAGCAGTATAAAGAAAGAAATAACAAAGACAATCTTGACAAAATACAATAAAAGACCTAACAAATCGTCCTGAACAATAGTCATAATAAAATAAAATGGTAATCGAAGTATATATAACTCTCCACTAATAAAAACCAAACACAAAGGACAAGAAACTACAACAATAATACTACGACTAATAGTATAGAAGAATAAGCGAGACAACACCTCCTAACCCAATCCATGTCCTTCATAACCTTCTATCTAAGGTCATGTCCCCGGTAATTTTCCGCATAAGGAATTTCAAATGAACCCCTTCCACACTCTAGTTCTACCTCTAGATATAACAGAGGAAGTTAACAAATAAGAGGCTAGGGTTGTGAGCAATTGCCAGTATAAGTATCAACATCTGATTATTCAATTTGATACAGCATACACATGGAAATAGTCTCAGTTACAAGAAAAACAATATTTCTAATTCTCCAGATTTTGATATTGCTAAATGTCTCATTTTACCTTGTCCATTGCACATTTTCAACTCTCCAACTTAAATTACAAACCTCAGGCCCTGACTCTGCTGCTTTTGATCCAAAAGGCGATGGACCTTACGCATGTGTTGGAGATGGCAGAGTAATCAAATATAAAGATCCAAATGTTGGCTTCACTGAATTTGCTATTACATCACCAAATAGGTAATTGAATTCCAATTCTAAGCTTGATATTTTCCTTATTCACTATTAAAATAAAACAGGAATTAGCTAGCAATAGATAAATTCCGTAGGAAAATCTTAGTAGTTTAGTTGGTTGGTTACGCGAACTTTCACTTTATAGATAAATTTCGTAGCTAAACAACAAAATTCATAATTTAGTGATGGATTAGCAACGAAGTTCATAGCTAATTTTGTAGTGCATATCCTTCTTTTCTCAAAGACTGATAATTTTTGTCATATATTATGTATGTTTAGGACCAAGAAAAGATGTGATGGCACAAATGACCCAATATCACAACCAGTATGTGGAAGACCGTATGGCCTTGGGTTTTACGACAAAACTGGTGACCTCTACATAACTGATGCATATTATGGACTCGTGATGGCTAAACCAAGTGGAGGGCTCGTTACACGAGTTGCTACTAGCTTTGAGGGCACACCTTTTGCCTTTCTCGACTCACTAGACATCGACCAGGAAATGGGAATCATTTATTTTGTAGATTCAGGAGCCATATTCCGAACTGGGTTAGTCGTTCTAAAACTTTTCTCATGTCAATTAAGCATGTAGATAGTATTTGGTTGAAGTTTACAAAAAATGAGAATATTTGAAGTTGAAATTGAAACAAGAGTATTTGAAAGTTAACTTATGTTTTGTTTTAAAATTTTAAATTGAATTGTCTTGTCAACAGCAACAGGCTTCTAATTGCTTTAAGCGGAGATACAACAGGGAGATTGTTCAAGTACGATATAGCAACAAAACAAGTCACATTATTACTAAATAAACTTTCAGGACCAGCAGGGATCGCACTTAGCAAAGACAAATCATATTTATTAGTCTCAGAAACTATTGCTAAAAAAAATCGGAGGTTTTGGCTGACAGGTGCAAATGCAAATTCATCGGATGTTTTTGCAAACATTGACGGAAATCCAGATAACATTAAGAGGACTGAGTCGGGAGATTTTTGGGTAGCTGTTGTCAGCATTAAATTAAAGTACTTGATCGTTCCTGCCATAATTTCAACAGGACAAAGGATGAATGAGAAAGGGGAAGTCGTGGAAACGCGCGATTTCACAGCTCAATATAAAGGTATTAATGGGATAACTGAAGTTCAAGAACATAAAGGCAAACTTTATGTTGGGTCATTAGACCAGAAATTCATTGGTGTTGATGAAATTTGATGCATGTCTTTTGTTTTTACAAGAATAAGTTTTATGATACAGAGTATCATGTATTATCTTATTCTATATGTTAAATAAAATGCTGCAGAGACCTTTCTTACAACATCACGATTGTACTATCTGCAAGTGACTTATACACCTTATTGTGATTAATATATACTAGATCTTTATTTTCCTTGAGAGTCTATCGGAAACAACATGTTTACCTCCAAGAGGTAAGAGTAGTCTGTGTACTCTCTACCCAATCCAGAGCTCATTTAGTGGGATTACACTGAGTATATTGTTGTATATGCCAGATCCTATTAATATCCTTATATCTCTTTGATGAGAGAACTCAAAATCATTCCATTTGGACAGCAAAAGAAGAATGGTGAGGTGGGGGAGGAATCATAGATTAGCAAAAGCCATTTTGTGCTATAACTTAACTTGTACATTTCCTTTTAATTGATGCATACATAACATTCCCATGAATTTCATGGAATTAAAGTCCATGTTAAATTTGGATAAACTCTTAAATTCAAGAATTATCAAGCTCAAATCAAAATTAGTTGTTTTATTTTAATATGTACTTAAATTGAAGTCCAAACTTTACTTAGGATAGTCTATTTAATGGTGTTCCAAGATGTGAGCCAATTTTACTAGCCCAAGGTCCAAATATCTTAGAGCTTGTTCTCATCACGTCATGTCATATGCATGAGTCAATATGATCACACCAAATGCAAAGATATGTGGCATACCAAGTTAAATCACATACCAATAAAATCATGTCAAGTTTGCAGATGACATTGTTATGATCAATTAAATCGGAGTTTACCACCAAATTGAGATGATTAGTTGGTATTTGGTAATTCAAATGGACCAATCAAATCAATCGAAAAAGTCCACTTACGCTCAACTATATCCCTTTATACAACTTTAAAAAAATAGATATTCAACATTATTGTCATTCCTAGGATTGAATAGACATTTTTTTTATCAGTATTAGTATTGATTTAGAGCCCGTTTGGATTGACTTAAAAAAAGTAACTTTTAAAGTGTTGGAACTTATTTTTAAAATAAGTAGTTATGTGTTTGGATAAAAGTGCTGCAGTTGAAAAAAAAGTTGTTGATGTGTTTGGCAAATAAGTGCTGGTATACACTTTTTTTTATCAAAATGTCTGAAATACCCTTTAAGCTGTTAACATGATAAAAAGTTGATTAATTTAAGGTTTTTATACTTAAAAAAAAATTAAAACAAAATTAATTTATGTTTTACATCCATAAGTAATAATATTTTTCTATCATTCACATATTTCTTTACCACCTTATAAGAGGAATATAAATTCATATTTCAGAAATAATAATAATAATAATAAAATAA